CTTTCTTTCTTTCTTTCTTTCTTTCTTTCTTTCTTTCTTTCTTTCTTCCTTTCTTTCTTTCTTTCTTTCTTTCTCTCTCTTTCCTTTCTCTCTTTCTCCTCCTTCTCTTCTCTTTTTCTCTCTCTTCCTCCCTGTTTTTTTCTCTCCCTCTTCTTTTTTTCTGAGACAGGGTCTCACTCTGTCTCCCAGGCTGGAGTGCAGGGGTACAACCATACTCACTGCAGTCTCAACCTCCTGAGCTCAAGCAATCCCCCGGGCTCAGCCTTCTGCACAGCTAGGACTATAGGTGCATGCCACTGTGTCCAGCTAATTTTGTCCTTTCTTTAAACATCATCTTTTTTTTCACATTTGGGTTTGAAAGTTATATCTCCCATTTCTGTAGAAGTTACCTTGAAAGGTTAACATTTACTTAAATGAAAAAAGTCTAAAGTTTATCAGCATCTAACCACCCCCTCCCCTGCAAACAATCAAACAATACAAGGACTTTAAAAGACTTTAACTTTCTCTTTTTTTTTTTTTTTTTTTTGAGACAGTCTTGTTCTGTCACCCAAGCTGGAGTGCAATGGCGTGCTCTCCACTCACTGCAACCTCTACCTCCCGGGCTCAAAGCGATTCCCCTGCCTCAGCCTTCTGAGTAGCTGGGATTACAGGTGCCCGCCCCCACACCCGGCTAATTTTTGTATTTTTAGTAGAGATGGGTTTCACCATGTTGGGCAGGCTGGTCTTAAACTCCTGACCTCACGTGATCCCACTCAGCATCCCAAAGTGCTAGGATTACAGGCGTGAGCCACCGCGCCTGGCCGAGACTTTAACTTTCATCTCCTCCCCTTGGTCATTGTTGTCCAATATTCTAGTTCTAATCGTATTTTGTCCCCAAAGTTAGGCATGATTATTTCATTTTATTTTATTTGAGACGGAGTCTCTCTGTCACCCAGGCTGGAGTGCAGTGGTATGATCTCAGCTCACTGCAACCTCTGCCTTCCCAGTTCAAGAGATTCTCCTGCCTCAGCCTCCCAAGTAGCTGGGATTATAGGTGCCCACCACCAAACCTGGCTAATTTTTGTATTTTTATTAGAGACGGGGTTTTGCCATGTTGGCCAGGCTGGTCTCAAACTCCTGACCTTAGGTGATCAACCTGCCTTGACCTCCCAAAGTTCTGGGATTACAGTCATGAGCCACCACGCCCTGCCTGGTTATTTTATAAGACAGAATTCATCATCATGGTACCAGTTCCTTTGTTTACCTTTTCTTCTTGCAATGCCAGTCTTCCCTCTGGAATGACTTTTTTTTTTTTTTTTTTGAGATGGAGTTTCACTGTTGTTACCCAGGCTGGAGTGCAATGGCACCATCTCGGCTCACTGCAGCCTCCGCCTCCTGGGTTCAGGCAATTCTCCTGCCTCAGCCTCCTGAGTAGCTGGGATTACAGGCACGCGCCACCATGCCCAGCTAATGTTTTTTTGTATTTTTAGTAGAGACGGGGTTTCACCATGTTGACCAGGATGGTCTCGATCTCTTGACCTCGTGATCCACCCACCTTGGCCTCCCAAAGTGCTGGGATTACAGGCTTGAGCCACCGTGCCCGGCTTGGAATGACTTTTCTTCTTCCTGGAGAATATTATTGAGAAGTTTTTTGTTTTTATTTTTTGTTTTTTGAGACAGGGTCTCACTCTGTTGCGCAGGCTGGAGTGCAGTGGCACGATCTTGGCTCATTGCAACCTCCACCTCCCAGGTTCAAGAGGTTCTCCCACCTCAGCCTCCCAAGTAGTGGGGATTACAGGTATGCGCCACCACCCCCGGCTAATTTTTGTCCTTTTAGTAGAGATGGGTTTCACCATGTTGGTCAGGCTGGTCTCAAACTCCTGACCTCAAGTGATTCACCCCCGCTTAGTCTCCCAAAGTGCTGGGAGTACAGACGTGAGCCACTGCACCAGTCTTACTTAGAAGTTTCTTCAGTGAAAGATGGTAAATTCTCAGTTTTTGATTATCTGAAAATGTTTTTATTTAGCCTTTATTCTAAAAAGATGCTTGGACTCAATACCCAATTCTAGATTGACAGTTAATTCTTCTTAATTTGTAAATATTGTCTCATTGACTGACTTACATTGCTGTTCTGAGAAATTTAACAGCAGCTATTTCTGTACAGGTGATCTGGTTTTTTTCTTTGGTTTCTTCTGAAGTCTTTTTTAGAGCTGGGCATAGTGTCTCATGCCTGTAATTCCAGCACTTTGGGAGGCTGAGTTGAGTAGATCACTGAAAGCTAGGAGTTTGAGACCAGCCTGGCCGACATGAAGAAACCCTGTCTCTGCTAAAAATAACAAAAATTAGCCGGGCATGGTGGTACGTGTCTGTAATCTCACCTACTCAGGAGGCTGAGGCATGAGAATCACTTGAACCTGGGAGGCAGAGGTTGCAGTAAGCCGAAGTTGTACTGCGCTCCAGCCTGAGTGAAAGACTGAGACTCTGTCTCAGAAAAAAAAAAAATTCTCTTTTTCTCAGGTGTTTTGAAGTTTCACTACGATGTGTCTAGATATAAAATTTTCATTTATCCTGCTTAGTATAGATTGTGTTCCTGTGTTTATGAATACACATATTTTCATCACTCTTGGAAGTTTCCTAGTCATCTCTTTGAACATTGCTTCTCCTCAGCCATTCTCTAGGCTCTTCATCAGAACTCTAGTTAGGCAAATGTTAGATTTCTTGTTTTGCATTTTTAACTTATCTTTCATAGTTTCTTTCTTCCTGCTCCATGCTCCACTCTGGATAATTTTTTGTTTGTTCATTTGTTTGTTTGAGACAGAATCCCACTCTGTTGCCTCATGCTGGAGTGCAGTGGCGTGATCTTAGCTCACTGCAGCCTCGACCTGGACTCAAGCTATCCTCCTATCTCAGCCTCCTGAGTAGCTGGGACTACAGGTGTATGACACCATGCCCAGCTTTTTTTTTTTTTTTTTTCAATTTTCTGTAAAGACATGTTCTCACTACATTTCCCAGGCTGGTCTCAAACTCCTGGGCTCAAGCAATCCTCCTGCCTCAGCCTCCCAAAGTGCTAGGATTATAGCCATGAGCCACTGCATCTGGCCTCTGGGTAATTTCTTTAGATCTGTTTCGATTCATTAATTTGCTTTTCATCATTGTCTAATCTGCTATTTAAACATTGAGTTTTTTACTTCAAACATTATAAGCTTTTCTGTTTTATTATTTCTCCAGTCTGCCTGGCCATATAGATAATTTCTTATTCCTTGAATGGATAATTTCTTATTCCTTGCTTAATTTTTCATTTCATCTTTGAAGGTATTTAGGTGTTTCATAAATAATCATTTTATATTCCACAACTGGGCTTTAAAAAAAAAAAAACAAGGTCTCACTCTGTCATCCAGGCTGTGCAGTAGCATCATCACAGCTCACTGCAGGCTCAAAATCCTGGGCTCATGTGATCCTCTCACCTCAGCCTCCTGAGTAGATGGGGCTACAAGCACATGCGATGACACCAAGCTAATTTTTTTTTTTTCAGTAGAGATGAGGTCTCGCTATGTTGTCCAGGCTGGTCTTGAACTCCTGAGCTCGAGTGACCCTCCCATCTTGGTCTCACAGAGTGCTGGGATTATAGGCATGAGCCACCGAGCCCAGCCTTTAACTGTTACTTTTAATATCTGAAATTCTTGAAGGTCTAAAACTGTTGTTTTTAGTTATTATTTACTCTTTCCTAGTGGTTTGTTTCCTTGTTGTTGTTTTTTTTTTAATTATGAGCTCAAGTTACTTTGAATGTATTCTTTTGGAATCCTGAGGGCCTAAGATGGATATGTTCTCCTCCAGTGATGATTCGGTCTTTATTCTGCAGGAATCAGGCATATTAATGATCTGTGACCATTACTTTTGTTGCCTTTACTAAAGAGTGGGTCCCAGGTTTAGTTAAGGATTCTCAAATTCAGCCTCCCCATCCTGCTGGAGGGCCTGGGGTTTATTCTCCTGACACTCCGTTTGTGTTCAGGACAACTGTACCTTTCCCATTTGCTCACTTTCCTGTTTTTCTTGCTCAAGATTTCGCTTATTGACCTTTTTCTTTCTGTCTTTTTTTGAGAGAGAAGGGTAGGATATGGGTAGGGAACATTCTTAGTGATTTCTTCAAGTAAGCCCAAGCAATGCATTAAAAAGTACGTTTCAGGTTCAAGTTGTAAAGAGAACCCTTAAGAATAGCTACTCTTGGCCGGGCGCGGTGGCTCACGCCTGTAATCCCAGTACTTTGGGAGGCCGAGGCGGGTGGATCACGAGGTCAAGAGATCGAGACCATCCTGGTCAACATGGTGAAACCCCGTCTCTACTAAAAATACAAAAAATCAGCTGGGCATGGTGGCACATGCCTGTAATCCCAGCTACTCAGGAGGCTGAGGCAGGAGAATTGCCTGAACCCAGGACGCGGAGATTGCACCGAGCCGAGATTGTGCCATTGCATTCCCGCCTGGGTAACAAGAGTGAAACTCCGTCTCAAAAAAAAAAAAAAAAAGAATAGCTACTCTTACGGTACTGCTGGAAAAAGCAGAAGTGGATGTCACACTTTGTACCTCCAGCAATTGGTGCTGCTATAGTTAGAAGTATACTTTAACCCAAGGATATTGCTATAAATATTTTTTTATGCTTGAGAGAAACTAAAATGTTAGGAAAATCAGGGCTGCTGTGACTCTTGAGCACTGGGTTGGATGAGGGTGGGTCTGTTCTACAATTGATTCAGTGGAAACTAACCTGAAATTGGGGTGGGGTGGGGGATGACCTTTTACAGGGTGATGTTATAGGTCTGGAGCGGGGCGGGGGAAAGACCGAGGTGATGGTGATGGAAGGTGTGACTACTGTTGCCTACACACTGGATGAAGGCCTCATCGAGTTTGGAACAGCCATTGATGATGGCAATTACACCCGGTGAGAGGCTGGCCAATAGCCAGTGAGGTGGTGGGAGAGTCTGGTTCTGAGAGGGAGGACCTGGGGTGGGGTGTAAAACTGCCCAAAACTGTTAAGGATCCAGTGATCCTGGGAGGAGATGAGACAAACATGGCCCTTCCCCCTTCCCTTGCCCCATCATCAGTCTTCTGCTGCGTCTTGCTGACTCATCCCTCATTCCTTTTGCTTTGCTTCCTTCCCTTTCCAGGGCAACAGCTTTCTTAGAGACTCTGGAAATGACCCCAGAAACAGAGGCAATGTGGAAAACCTTGAGTAAACTGGCACTAGAGGCAAGGCAACTACACATTGCGGAGAGGTGAGGTGTAGAACAGAGGTCCAGGCAGCGAGGAGGGATGACCACATGCGTGTTTTCCCTGTGGGCTGCTCCAACCCAGTGTTAAGGCACTGCTTCCCTTCCCACTGCCAGCAAATAACATAGAGCCTTTCTGCATTACAATATTCCAAACACTCTCCCATCCTCGATTTTATAAGAGTATGTATTGGCCAGGCATGGTGGGTAACACCTATACTCCTAGCACTTTGGGAGACCAAGGTGGGCAGATCACTTGAGGCCAGGAGTTCAAGACCAGCCTGGCCAAAATGGGCGAAACCTCAGCTCTACTAAAAATACAAAAATTAGCCAGGCATGGTGGTGTGCACCTGTGGTCCCAGCTACTCAGGAGGCTGAGAGGCACAGGAATTGCTTAAACCCGGGAGGCAAAGGTTGCAGTGAGCTGAGGTCATACCACTGCACTCCAGCCTGGGTGACACAGCGAGACCTTATCTCAAAAAAAAAAAAAAAAAAGGTGATAAAACAAGAGTATATCTTCTATTATTTTTACTGCCCCTTCTTGTAATTAGGTTCCCCTTAACATGTTTTACTAATCATACCCTTAAACCCATGCATATGTGTATGATCCAGGTTTAGTATCAGAGTATAGTTAATAGGACAAACTTGGGTCTCCAGACTCCTTGAGTTCAAATCTTGGTTCCAGTTACCAACTTGTATAACCTTAGAGAGATTATTTGACCTTTCCACACCTTGGCTTCTTTATTTCCTCAGTGTAGAATAGGGATAATAATAGTGTTTGCCTCATATGATGATAAAGAAGATGGTAAGGATATTGGTAGAGAAGGAGTGATGAGAGAATCTGTGCAAAGTGCTCAATAAATGTCACCTGCTGCCAGGTGGGAATCATCCTTGATCCCATTTTCCCCATACTTCCCACATGTAGATAGATTATCAGCAAGTCCTAAGGACTTTCTTCGAAACACATCCTGATGTCTCCATCCTAGTGCAGACCACTGCCCTCTCCCACCTGCAATATTGCACAGCCTCTTAATTAGTCTTACTGATACTGTTTCTTGTACCCCTACCATCTGTTCATTTCAGAGCAGCTGAGGTAATTTTTTTAAACATAGATTGTGTCTTTTTCATGACTGGAACCTTCCAATAGCTTACTCTTTTACTTGGTATAAAACCCAAACTCCTTGTGTGGCCTTAGCCCTGAATGTTTTTGGTCTCTGCTTCCTTCTCATGCCAGCCCCCTAATTGCCCATTAGTGTCCAAGCACACTGGCATCCTTCGGGATCTGTGAGCGTGCCAAGCTCATACCTGCAATAGGGCCTCTACACTAGCTGTTCCCTCTCAGGAATGACCTTTCCCCATCCTGCCATGACTGGCTTTTTCTTGTATTCAGGTCTCAGCTCAAATGTCAGTTCATCAGAGAGAGCTTCTCCAACTACCAAATTAAGTGGCCCCTTCAATCACTGTCTATAACAGGGATGCCCAATCTTTTGGCTTCCCTGGGGCACATTGGAAAAAGAATTACCTTGGGCCACACATAAAATATACTAACACTGATAATGGCTTAAAAAAAACCATAATATTTTAAGAAAGTTTATGAATTTGTATTGGGCCACATTCAAGGCCATCTTGGACCATGAGTTGAACAAGCTTCATCTATAATATTACATTATTTTATTTTATTTTATTGTTGAGACAGAGTCTCGCTCTGTTACCCAGGGTGGAGTGCAGTGGCACAGTCTCTCCCACTGCAATGTCTGCCTCCCAAGTTCAAGCAATTCTCCTGCCTCAGCCTCCTGAGTAGCTGAGATTACAGGTGCATGCCACCACACCTGGCTAATTTTTTGTATTTTTAGTAGAGACAAGGTTTCACCATATTAGCCAGAATGGTCTCAATCTCCTGACCTTGTGATCGCCCGCCTCAGCCTCCCAAAGTGCTGGGATTACAGGCGTGAGCCGCCCTGCCCAGCCTACTTTAGTTTATTTTTTATTATCTCCACTTTACTAATTATGTGTCTCCACTAGAATGCACGTTCTCTGAGAGCAAAGCCCTCATATTCCCTTTTCTCCTGTTTCTCCAGTGACAAGCACACTGCCTGGCTCATCATAGATGCACATCAATTTGTATTTGCTGAACCAATGAATTAATGATCATTGTATAATAATATTACTATTAATGTCTTTGCTTCCATGCTATAGGTGCTTTTCTGCTTTGGGCCAAGTAGCAAAAGCTCGATTCCTGCATGAGACCAATGAGATTGCAGATCGAGTATCCCGGGAATATGCAAGTATTATGCTCCTGATTCATTCCATCTCCCAAACTGATTTCTCGTAGTATTCAGCCCCATGGTTCCTAGGTTTCCAGCCATCCCTAGTTTCCTTTATCCTGCCCACCCCACCTCTACCCTCCAGTCAGACCATTTCAGAATCGTTAAACCTCAAACCTTTAAGCTCCATGAAGAGTTTTACCTTCCCAAGTCTTCTATTTTTTACATCCTTCTGGCCTTTCAATCTCAGCCCTCACAGACAGAACGGCAGCACCTACAGAAAAACCAGAACCTCCTTTTTCCCCACAGGGCGGAGAAGGGACAGACTTTTATCAGGTCCGAGCACGTTTAGCCATGCTGGAAAAGAACTACAAACTGGCCGAAATGATCTTTTTGGAACAGGTAATAGCAAAAGGGGACAGGATGCAGGGGGGATATGAGGGAAAAAAAGGGAAAAGGGGGTGCAAACTCAAGGGAGGAAAGTGTGCTGGTGAGCGAGGCTTCCAAATGTTTGGGGAAAGCTTTCAGAGAGGTTTACATAGTTAATTTCACCCCTTCCTTTATTTCCTCCTCTTGTGTTAGTCCTTACTTTTCTAGACAAACTTCCTTCTTGGACCTTTGATTACTTCTTTCTTTCATAAGCAGTCTGCTTCCCCCCTCCAGTCCGGAGCCTGTCTTTGCAATTCTTGTGCATAGGGGTCGATCCACATTTTGTTTGTGGCTGGAAACTTACACAATTTGAGGAGCTCTCTTTAAGAACAGGTGCCTTAGGCTGGGCGTGGTGGCTCACGCATGTAATCCCAGCCCTTTGGGAGGCTGAGGCAGGCAGATCACATGAGGTCAGGAGTTCAAGACAGCCTGGCCAACGTGGTAAAACCCTGTCTCTACTAAAAATACAAAAAATTAGCCAGGCATGGTAGCACACGCCTGTAATCCCAGCTACTCGGGAGGCTGAGGTGGGAGAATCACAGGAGCCTAGGAAGCGGAGGTTGCAGTGAGCCGAGATCGCACCACTGCACTTCAGCCTGAGCGATAGAGTGAGACTCCATGGCAAAATAAAGAACAGTTGCCTTGGAAAGGGCCTGTGCAAATAAGGAGCCCTGAAGCTTAGGCTTCTTTAAGTTTCCCAATATTTTTGCTGGTATAGTAGTTAATAGGTAAGGCTTTTGGTCCTCACGTGCTGGCATCTTAGCCAGGCTGAGGAGAACTTGCTGCTTTCTGATCCTCAAATCCTTCTGTCATCCTGTCTGCTCTGCCTGTTTTCCCTAGAACGCTGTGGAGGAGGTCATGGGCATGTACCAGGAGCTACACCGTTGGGATGAGTGTATTGTTGTAGCTGAAGCTAAGGTACCTGTTTTGACTTCTCCACAGTTGTTCAGAATTTGGTTCTGCCAATTTCAAAAACCTTCTTTTGTCAAGGAGGCCATAGAAACCAGAACAGGGTTGGGGCTTGGACTTGATGTGGTGAGGAGTTAGGATACTGCTGACTCAGGAGGATTTCCCTTGTTACAGAGGGATTGGAGAAGCTTGGGAGGCACAAGGGTAGGAAGGGCTGTGACTCCTAGTTCTCTGTGCGTGTCCAGGGGCACCCAGCCCTGGAGAATCTACGCCGGAGTTATTATCAGTGGCTGATGGACACACAGCAGGAGGAGCGAGCAGGTGAACTACAGGAGAGCCAAGGAGATGGGCTAGCAGCCATCAGCCTCTACCTCAAAGCTGGGCTCCCTGCCAAAGCTGCTCGGTTGGTGCTATCCCGAGAGGAACTGCTAGCCAACACAGAGCTGGTAGAACACATCACTGCAGCCCTTATCAAGGGGGAACTCTACGAAAGGGTATGCTCACTTCCTCTTCCTAGCCCTTATCTCCAGAGCTCAGGACCCTTCTCTTGCCCAGAGGAGTTTTGGGGCACAGAGCGCTTCCTGACTGCTGGTGTTCCCTTGTTTTTGGAGCTAATACTTGATTCTTTGTGTTGTAGGGGTACCATAGTAATGGGGTATGTGTTAACAGGCAGGTGATCTCTTTGAGAAGATTCACAATCCACAGCAGGCCCTGGAGTGCTACCGTAAAGGGAACGCATTCATGAAAGGTACTAGCCCCCTATAAGCCATCCTTTACTGTTATGGACCCTTGCCCATCCGTCTCCCCAGCACCTCTTGGTGTGTGTGTTCAGGTTGCCTGGCTCCAGTTCTCCATTCTTCCCCTTCTCACTCCGTGCTTCATCTCCCTGTCCTACCTTTTTCCTGAGGTCCATCCATGGAAGTCTGGGCTGAGCACCTTTTCTCTCCCTGGCAGCGGTAGAGCTGGCTCGATTGGCCTTCCCAGTGGAGGTGGTGAAACTAGAGGAGGCATGGGGGGACCACCTGGTGCAGCAGAAGCAGCTTGATGCAGCCATTAATCACTACATCGAAGCCAGGTATGGGAGTATGGGAGTGTAAAGGACATTTGGGTGTGAAGTGAGGGGCAGTGGAGCCAGTAAGGACACCAAGGCCAAAAAGAAGAGATCTCAAAATGTAGGTGGAAGTGTGCTTAAGGGGTCACTTTACCTCCGTTCATCTTCATCTTTCAGCCTACATATTTATATCTTTCCCAACTTTGCCAGGTGCTCCATTAAGGCAATTGAGGCTGCCCTGGGTGCCCGCCAGTGGAAGAAGGCAATTTATATATTAGATCTACAGGACCGGAACACCGCGTCCAAATACTATCCTCTCGTGGCCCAACACTATGCATCTCTGCAGGAGTATGAGGTGAGGGAGAGTCCTTTCCGCAGCATGATGTGGTGCAGTAGAGGATAACAGTGAGAGAACCTGAAACAGGAAGTGGAGGCCAGTTCACCTGATCCTTCTTTCTGGGCCCCAAACAGCATCACCACCTTGAATGAGAAAAGAACAGTTTACTTTCCCAGTTTCATTCCAGCGTGACACAGATACCTCCCTTCACCCCAGATATATAAAGTGAGTCTCTAGCTCTGTTCCAGCCAGCATGAGTGATTCTTGATGAATAACTCTAACATAGTTACAATATAAAATTGCTTTGCATTGCAGAAACGTGAGGCCCTTTTGAATTCCACTGTATTGTCCTCGTACTGTTTGGGGCTGGCCTTTCTTTTTAAATGGTAGAATGTATGAGACACTCATACTCATCTTTTCTTCTCTGTTATTACAAGGTCATATTGCAGGCTCTCCACCATCCCAACCAAGGTTTGTTCTTTCCTCATTCAAGCCTGCTGCTCTGACCTTTTGTGTCTACCTCTCATCAACTACAGATTGCTGAGGAGCTCTATACTAAGGGAGACCGAACAAAAGATGCTATAGACATGTACACCCAGGCTGGCCGTTGGGAACAAGCCCACAAGGTAGAGATGGGTGGAGTTCATGATAAGAGAACTCTGCCTTAGTGGCAGTGTGGCCTCATTGCTGGGTCTGTTTCTCCTCTTTGCTTGGCTCCCTGAAAGCTGACAAAAAGTATCAAAAAACAGTCTGAGCCACTTTGATCCCTAGCCACAGAGAAAGGAAGGGATGAAGGGAGGCCCTTGTTTCCAGACCTGTCTATCATTCTTGAAGGAACAGATGGGCTCGGGAGCTGCAGAATCTGAACTACCACTCCTGATGGCTCTGGTCACAATGATGTCTTTGTTCTTGCCCTACACTTCAGAGCCCAGTGGTTACAGTGGCAATGGGAGTGTATGTCCCAGCACAAGGCATTGCAGACCCACCCACCTTAGCAGAATATAGTTCTTCCTCTGCTCCTTATGGACTTGGAATTCCCCGACCTGACTAGTAGAGTGGCAATAACCAAACTCCTGTGATTGTTGGGAGAGTTCAGAATTCCTGAACAAGCAGGTTCCCTTGAAGGCCTGCTTCCCTGGGGAATTGGACCTGAGGCTACCCTTCCTCTGTGCCTCCACAGCTGGCAATGAAATGCATGAGACCAGAAGATGTGTCAGTGCTGTACATCACTCAGGCCCAGGAAATGGAGAAGCAGGGCAAGTACCGTGAGGCTGAAAGGTGAGCCGTGGCCTCAGAGAAGGTGTAGGGATAGATGAGATTTCATTGCTGGGAGGAGGGATGGGGTCTCAGGATGTGTACTCTCTGCCCAGAAGGCAGAGACAGCAGGGATCTGGGTCTAGGAGGCCCTAGGTGTATCTCCCTTCCCCAGGCTCTATGTGACAGTAGAAGAGCCTGATCTTGCCATCACCATGTACAAAAAGCACAAGCTGTATGATGACATGATCCGCCTGGTTGGGAAGCACCATCCAGATCTCCTCAGTGACACACACCTACATCTGGGCAAGGTGAGCCCTTCTCCTGGCTCTACCTATCTCTTCCCCAACCAGGCGCCACCTCCCCATCCCTCCATCTTGACTCACCTTCCTGCAGGAGCTGGAGGCTGAAGGCCGACTACAGGAGGCGGAGTACCACTACCTCGAGGCCCAGGAATGGAAGGCAACAGTGAACATGTACCGAGCCAGTGGGCTTTGGGAAGAGGCCTACCGCGTAAGGAGTTCAGGCCATGCTGAGGGATACATGCATCCTTCTTTCCCATGGTTTTTTTTTTTTTTTTTTTTTCACACAGGTTCTCACTGTCACCCAGGCTGGAGTGCAGTGATACAATTACAGCTCACTGCAGCCTTGACCTCCTGGGCTTAAGCAATGGATCCTCCCACTTCAACCTCCTGTGTAGCTGGGACTACAGGCATGCACACCACACCTGGCTAATTTTTAATTTTTTTGTAGACAGTTTTTCCACCATGAGTTCAGGCTGGTCTTGAACTCCTGGCCTCAAGCAATCCACCTGCCTTGGCCTCCAAAAGTGTTAGAATTACAGGCATGAGCCACCATGGCCAGCCCTTCTTTCCCACTTTAAGTGACTAATTCACAATCGGTCAGAGCATCTTTGAAAATGTAGTGAAGATCAGAGTCTCTCTTGCCAGAACCACGTTCACATCTATATAAAGAAAATGTCATTTATAATTTTAAGGGTCTGTGGACCAGGTAGGTAAAGCCTATCCTTGGACCCTAAGTACTTCAACCTAAGTTAAGAAACCCTGAGATATAACCCTCTTCCTGTTAACTTTTTATTTTGTTTTACTTTTATTTTTTGAGACAAAATCTCACTCTGTCTCCCAGGCTGAAGTGCTGTGGCACAATCTTGGCTCACAATCTAGCCTCTATCTCCCAGGTTCAAGCAGTTCTCCTGCCTCAGCCTCCTGAGTAGCTGGAACTACAGGCACTCACCACCATGCCCAGCTAATTTTTGTATTTTTAGTAGAGATGGGACTTCACTATGTTGGTCAGGCTGGTCTCAAACTCCTGGCCTCAAGTGATTGACCTGCCTCTGCCTCCCAAAATGCTGGGATTACAGGCATGAGCCACCGCACCCAGCCTCTCCCTGTTAACTTAGAGCAGTTACTGGATCCTTGTCAAAGCCAAGGTCAGAGATGAGAAGGGAGCAACTCTGTATTGGAGGATTATTGAGTGAGTTTGCTTTACAGGTGGCCAGGACTCAAGGAGGGGCTAATGCCCACAAACACGTGGCCTATCTGTGGGCAAAGAGCCTGGGAGGAGAAGCTGCAGTTAGACTGCTTACCAAGCTGGGACTCCTGGAAGCTTCTGTTGACCACGCTGCAGACAATTGGTGAGGCCCCAAACATTCTCTCCACGAGCCCCATCCCAGCTAGAGGCCCTCTCTAGATAAAGAAGATTGATGTATAACTGAAAAATATTTCCAGAAGCAGAGGCAAGAATGAAGAAATGTAGTAAAGGAAGATCCTTGGAAGGACATGATAGAGTGGCAAGAATAAATTAACTGCTCCTATTCCCTAGGGCTCAGAACAGTGTTTACTCTTTGGCCGTTCTAAGAAGGGTGGAGAGGGAACAGATTGTAAAGCTAGCACTGCAGACTGCACTAAGCCAGTCACTTGCATCTGGGTAGTGGAAGTGTGATTCTTCAAATGCAAAGTGAACTCTTCTTTTTTTTGGAAGCACCAGAGCTCATGAGGTATTTTATTTGTAAATATGTATTACATCTCTAGAAAAAGAATCCCAGGATTTTCCCTCTGATGTGTTGTTGTCTTGCTTCTTCATGGTTCATGATGCCAGCTGAGGTTGTCAGTACAATAAAACCAAGCTGGCAGGATGGGAGCAGATTATTCTGCCATTTTTCTAGATTTCTGAGTTACATGTCAAATCTGGGACTGATCACTCCACACTTGTTCAGCCTGCCTGTGAGGTTCACAACAATTTTCCTGGCTCTGTGATCATCAGTGATTTCAAATCCGCCGAATGTAACCATATTTCATCATCACAGTTAGAAACCAGACGATGACTTTGGAGTACAGCCTGATAAGAACCTGGTGTTTGCCTCTCTTTCTGGCATTGCTGATGCTCTTGACAGCATCAACCAGGACATTCGTGTGCACCATTGTGGCGGCACAGAAAGATGGCGGAAAGAGCAAAGTGAACTTTTCTTAAGCAACTGTTATAAATGCCAATTGTGGAGTCTGATGCTGAGGGTGATCTTGCTCATTTTTTGGAGAGACTGTGTTTCTGATAATGTAGCTGGGGCTCAGGAGGAGGTGGTGAGCACCAGGAGCCCTCCTGGCCCTGTCAGCATAGGACTTCGAGGCTCACTCCTCCCTTCCCCTTCGCAGGCCCATTCTCCTTCCTCAGGAGCAGCTGGCCTCAGGAAAGGCATAGGCTTTTCCAGACGTCTCTTGATCCATGCTGACAGTGACGTGGTCTTCACAGGGCTGCCTCCCTATCTTTTTATCTCTGTGCTTTTCTGTCACTTCATGTCTGTTATCCTTAAACCTGTCACTTTTTCTCCCCTCAACCCTGTCCTTTCTCTGTTTTGTCTTGTTCCTTTTATGAAGGGAAGTGTGAAGTAAGAAAACTTTATCTGCACCTTCTGTTTCAGCTCCTTTGAATTTGCTTTTGAACTCTCTCGGCTGGCCCTCAAGCACAAAACCCCCGAGATCCATCTCAAATACGCTATGTACCTGGAGGATGAGGTATGGGTGTGATTTGGACGCTGACCGCAGAGCCCTCTTGTTCCATGCCCTAGTACACTGCTGCTGGTGTGCAGACCCTGGTCTCGGGGCTGCCTGTGATGCCAGTCTCCTTCTCATCACGCACGGCTGTCCTTCTCCCTGTAGGGTAAATTCGAAGAGGCTGAAGCTGAATTCATCAGAGCTGGTAAACCCAAGGAAGCAGTCCTCATGTGAGTTACCCCATACATTCCTTAATCCTGTTTCCCCAGTCACAGTCCCCGGATCTTTCATGATTATCTTGACCTTCATTCAAATCTAGAATAAATCAATATGACACCCCTCAGTGACATGGCTGTTTGTCTCCCAGAATTGGGGCCTCAGTCCTATACTCAGTCTCTCCTCTGTCCCCATTTGGGGGCAGGTTTGTTCACAATCAGGACTGGGAGGCAGCTCAGCGTGTGGCCGAGGCCCACGACCCTGACAGTGTCGCCGAGGTGCTTGTGGGACAGGCCCGGAGGGCGCTGGAGGAAAAGGACTTTCAGAAAGCAGAAGGGCTGCTGCTCCGGGCCCAGAGACCAGGCCTGGCCCTCAGTTATTATAAGGTGGGGCACTGGATTCAGGGCCATGAGGGGCCGGGGAGAGGGTCTGAGAACCCACAGAGAGCCACACTGACCCTTGGTATGAAGAAAGATCAGGGAGGTTGGTACTGAGGAGAGGGAAAGACAGGAAAGAGGAAGGAGAAGAGAGGACTAAGGACCCAGGAGTCCGTGGGCCAGGGCACCTGTGTGGCAGTGGGAAGCTGTCCTGCCTGCCTCTGCTGTCTTGATACCTGGAAATCTGAGCAGGAGGCTGGATTATGGAGTGACGCGCTGCGGATCTGCAAGGACTATGTGCCCGGCCAGCTGGAGGCTCTGCAGGAAGAGTATGAGCGGGAAGCTACTAAGAAGGGGGCCAGGTATGAGGCCAGAGGTCCAGCAGCAGTGGCAGGGCTGGGAGGGCCATGAGGCATGCACAGGACAGAGCACACTGCCCCCCCATGCCTAGTCCCAGTGCTCCAATCTCCACAGGGGTGTGGAGGGACTCGTGGAACAAGCTCGACACTGGGAGCAGGCTGGAGAGTACAGTCGTGCCGTGGACTGCTACCTCAAAGTGCGAGACTCTGGAAACAGCGGCCTGATGGAGAAGTGCTGGATGAAGGTGAGGGCAGCAGGCTCTTTTGGGCCCTCCTTCTTCCTAGGCCTCCATTCACACTCAGCTTCCCTTCTCACATCTGCAGCTGTCTCCTCTGTGTCTTTTCCTTTTCAATCAGGTAGCAGGAATCTGTGGAGCTCCTGCTGGATGATAGAGCCAGAACCTCTGAAGGCTGTTAAGCAGATATAAGACAGCTAAAAGTTAGGGGAGTTGGACTAACACATGGCTCAGTTAATATCATATCTGAGTGCATACCAAAGTGCATGACTTAAAGTAGAGTTCAGAGAACAGTGAGATCTCTGTGGGCTAGACGGGTCAGGAAGGCTCTGTGAAGAAGGAGGGAGGACTTGGACAGGAGCCGGAAGGGCAACCCCAGGCACAGGAACTGGTCATACAGGGAACATGAAAAAGCATGGGCTCCGCCTCCTCCACCCAACATTTCCTGAAAAGAAGCCTCCAGCAAATTAAGCCAGGCCAGTATGTGTCTCAAATAATAAGACATACTGTATTGGAGAAACCAACAGGATGTATACAGTCATACACCACATAACAACATTTAGGTCAACAGTATACCGCATGGCTGGGTGTGGTGGCTCACACATGAAATCCCAGCACTTTGGGAAGTCAAGGATGGCGGATCACTTGAGGTCGGGAGTTCGAGACCAGCCTGACCAACATGGCAAAACCCTCTCTCTACTAAAAATACAAAAAAATTAACCAAGCATGGTGGTATATACCTGTAATTCTGGCTACTCAGAAGGCTGAGGTAGGAGGTTTACTTTGAACCCAGGAGGTAAAAGTTGCAGTGAGCCAAGATCACAACAGTACACTCCAGCCGGGGTGACAATGTGAGACTCTGTCTCAAAAAAAAAAAAAAAAAAAAACAGTGGACCACATATATTATGATGGTCCCATAAGATTATAATACTGTATTTTTATTGTAGTTTTTGTGTATTGTGATAGATTTTTTTTTTTTTTTTTTTTTTTTTTGAGAGAGGGTGTCTTTCTTTTTTTCCCCGCGGGAGTGCAATGGCGTGGTGTCGGCTCACCGCAACCTCCGCCTCTGGGGTTCAGGCAATTCTCCTGCCCCAGCCTCCTGAGTCGCTGGGATTACAGGCACGCACCGCCATGCCCAGCTAATTTTTTGTATTTTTAGTAGAGACGGGGTTTCACCATGTTGACCAGGATGGTCTCGATCTCTTGACCTCATGATCCACCCGCCTCAGCCTCCCAAAGTGCTGGGATTACAGGCTTGAGCCACCACGCCCGGCTAGATTTCTTTTTTTTTATTCTTTTGAGACAGAGCCTCCCTGTTTCCCAGGCTAGAGTGCAATGGCGCAATCTTGGCTCACTGCAACCTCTGCTTCCAGGTTCAACCTGCTTCAGCTTCCCAAGTAGCTGGGATTACAAGCGCCTGCCACCATGCCTGGCTAATTTTTTATATTTTTAGTAGAGACAGGGTTTCACTACATTGGCCAGGCTGGTCTCAAACTTCTGACCTCAGGCAATCTGCCTGCCTCGGCCTCCCAAAGTGCTAGAATTACAGGTGTGAGCTACCTCGCCCAGTCTTAGATAGGTTTCAGTACACAAATACTTACCATTGTGTTGTGGTTGCCTACAGTAGAGAGTACAAAAATGTGCTGTACAGGTTTGTAGCCTAGGTACAATAAGCTCTACACAGCTTCTACCTAGGTGTATAGTAGCCCGTACCATCTAGGTTTGTGTAAGTACATGCTGTGTTTGTACAATGATGAAATACCCTAAGGACACATTTCTCAGAACATACCCATCATTAGGCAATGCATGACTGTAAGTATATGTGTGTACATGTATGTGTGCACATGTATATAAAGAGATTTATTCGAAGGAATTGGCTCATGGAGTTCTGGAGATGGATAAAGCCCAAGATCTGCAGGTGAGTTGGCAAACTGAAAACCCAGGAGAACTGATGGTGTAGTTCCTGTCTGAAGGCCAACAAGCTGAGACCCAGGAAGAGCTGATGTTTCCGTTCAAATCTAAAGGCAGGAAAAAGCCAGTGTCCCAGTTTAAAGGCAGTCAAACAAGAATTCTCTCTAACTTGGGAAGGAGCCAGCCTTTATGTTCTGTTCAGGCCTTGAAATGATTGGATGAGGTCTATTGACAGTAGAGAGGGCAATTTGCTTTACTCAGTCTACCAATTTAAATGTTAACCTCATCCTAAAACACTTATAGAAACACCCAGAATAATGTTTGACCAAATACCTGGATACCCTGTAGCCTAGTCAAATTGATACATAAAGTTAACAATCACATGTATATATAATTATGTTTTAATATCTTTTTTTTTTTTTTTTTTTTTTTTTTTTTTTTGAGACGGAGTTTCACTCTTGTTACCCAGGCTGGAGTGCAATGGCGCGATCTCGGCTCACCGCAACCTCCGCCTCCTGGGTTCAGGCAATTCTCCTGCCTCAACCTCCTGAGTAGCTGGGATTACAGGCACGCGCCACCATGCCCAGCTAATGTTTTGTATTTTTAGTAGAGACGGGGTTTCACCATGTTGACCAGGATGGTCTCGATCTCTTGACCTCGTGATCCACCCGCCTCGGCCTCCCAAAGTGCTGGGATTACAGGCTTGAGCCACCGCGCCCGGCCTATGTTTTAATATCTTTAAAATTGGGATGCACGTATAAACAATGCACCTTAGATACAGTGAAATCTGATGGTGGGGGTCATGAAGGGGATGAAATTGACTCTCTGAATGAAGTGTTCGTATGGTGATGCCCCTGCAAAATTTCCCTTAGGTTTTTGAGGTCTTATAATTCAATAACCCCTAGAAGTTAGAGGGAAAAAAGTAGAAGGACTGGCTGATGATTGGTTTTGAGATTCTAGCAGATTTTAATCAGCAGTATTGAATAAGCATCTGATGTATATAACTCAGGAGCACTGCATGACTGCCTTCTACAGACCAGTCAGAAGATGGCTTCCTGAAGCAAGCAGGGCGGATTAAGCTTTGAAGGGGTTGGCAGTAAGAAAGGGAGGCAAGAACAGGTGAGGGAAAGACGAGAGGGGATTAGCATAAACTATAGCTAAATTGGATTGTGTGGAAATTGAAATCTGGTGAGGATGTCAGCATCCTAGTGGAAATAGAGTGATCTCATAGAACACTTGGGTTTGTAGAATTTCTGAGTTTTAAGTATTGGAAGGTATCAAGACCATCTATACCAGCACTGGCACTATAAATATATTGCAAGCCACAAATGTAAGCCATACATATAATTTAAATTTTCTAGTAGCCACATTTAAAAAGAATAAAAAGAAACAGGTGAAAATAATTGTAATATATTTTATTTAACACAGTATATCTAAAATACCACCATTTTTTCTGGACGCGGTGGTTCATGCCTGTAATCCCAGAACTTTGAGAGGCCAAGGTGGGCAGATCATTTGAGGTCAGGAGTTTGAGACCAGCCTGGTCAACATGGTGAAAGCCTGTCTCTACTAAAAATACAAAAATTAGCTGGGCATGGTGGCAGATTCCTGTAATTCCAGCTGCTCAGAAGGCTAAGGCAAGAGAATCACTTCAACCTGGGAGGTGGTGGTTGCAGTGAGCTGAGATTGCAACACTGAACTCCAGCCTGGGAGACATAACAAGATTCTGTCTCAAAAAAAAATACTACCATTTCAACATGTAGTCACATGCATTATTTATTTTTATTTTTTATTTTTTGAGACAGAGTCTCACTCTGTTGCCCAGGCTGGAGTGCAGTGGCACGATCTCAGCTCACAGCAACCTCCACCTCCCAGGTTCAAGTGATTCTCCTGCCTCACCTTCCAAGTAGCTGGGACTACAGGCGCATGCTACCACATCCAGCTAATTTTTTGTTAGTAGAGATGGGGTTTCGTCATGTTGGCCAGGCTCTTCTTGAACTCCTAACCTCAGGTGATCCACCTGCCTCAGCTTCCCAAAGTGCTGGGATTACAGGTGTGAGCCACCGTGCCCGGCCTCCATTCTTTGTTTTATACTGAGTCTTCAAAATCCAGTATGAATGAAGAAACTTAAAAAGCCCAACACAAATAGTTACAGAATGCCCTGGGCTCCTCATTTTAGGAGTCCTTTCTCTATATTCTGCTACAAAAATTCTACTTATGACAAAGACCTTGAGAAATGATTTTGTCAAAGGTGGAAGAATCAAATGCAGTGACCTCAAGCAGGACAGGAAGTGTCTGAAAGAGCTAACAATGAACTGAGAGGAAAGATGGGTCGACTGATGCCTAATTAAAGGATCTAATGGACCGTGAGCCAGGCTTTGCCCAGGAGGGTGCAAGGTAGAAGGAGAAAGAGAGAAAGTTGGCATCTGGAGGAGAAAAATGTGTGAAGCGGATCAGGCTGAGGACTCAGTGGTGTTTGTCTCTCCTACCCATTTCCATCTTCTGTTCAACCACACAGGCAGCCGAACTCTCCATCAAGTTTCTGCCTCCCCAACGTAATATCGAAGTTGTTCTGGCTGTAGGACCCCAGCTGATTGGAATTGGAAAGCACAATGCAGTAAGTGGGATGTGGGATGGAACAGAAATAGATTCCACAGAGATGGGTACAAAGGTGACATCTACACCCAGGGAAGTGTATGAGGTGGGCCTCCTGGTGGGCATGGCTTGCAGTCCTGGGAAAACAGATGAGGGAGCTCACAGAGGGAAGACTGAGAGTGACGAGAAAGTCTCCATGTTGACTTCTCATTGTGCAGGCTGCAGAGCTCTATCTGAATCTGGACCTGGTCAAGGAAGCAATCGATGCTTTCATCGAGGGTGAGGAGTGGAACAAGGCTAAGCGTGTAGCTAAGGAGTTAGATCCCAGGTAAGCTCGCAACCCCTTCTTACTGGGAAATTCTCTTTTACTTCCTTTTGTAAAGACTGGGAGAAAGTCTCATGGGGAGGGTTTGGTATTCTGGAACATGAAGATGGAGCTCTCTGTACATCTTCACAGGTATGAAGACTATGTGGACCAGTGTTATAAAGAGTTCCTCAAGAACCAGGGCAAAGTGGACTCGGTGAGACTTGCAGAGTTAGCAGGAGGCAGAATGCAGGGAGAGACCCACAAGAGTCTCTCCCTCTTCTTTCCCTCATGTCATCTCTTTTCCCTTGTAACTCTGTCTTCCATTGACCCAGCTTGTGGGTGTGGATGTGGTAGCTGCTTTGGACCTGTATGTGGAGCAGGGCCAGTGGGACAAGTGCATTGAAACAGCTACCAAACAGGTACTGCTCTCTTCCCATTCCCAGCTTTTCTTTACATTTTCCCTTGATTCCCCACCTGCCTCAAAGCTGCATCTCTCTTACCTCCACAAAAACCCAAAGCCCAAAGATAATCTAATGGGCATCAGAGAAGCTTAGTCTGAAACTGGGGTCAGAGGTTTGCATACACCCTTTGTCTCCTCAACAAATCCATGGCCTCAAGTCACCACTCTACCCTCACTGCTTGGTCTTGCTGATTCCAACCTCACCCATGCTTTTCCTCCACCCCTGTACAGAACTACAAGATTCTGCACAAGTATGTGGCTTTGTATGCAACTCACTTGATCCGAGAGGGTAGTTCTGCCCAGGCATTGGCCCTGTATGTACAGCACGGAGCCCCTGCTAACCCACAGGTACCTGCCTTCTTCTTGGGTTGAATGTATCCACAAGGAAACTGTTTCTCCTCTCCTCTCAGGAACTATCTTCTCAGAGGATTCTATCCTTAGAGAACGTCATGCCCAGGGCCCCCCATGCATCTTCAGAAATGTACAGCCTCTCTGGAGGCTGTGTATTTGCTAAGAACATGGGGAGAAGTTTGCAGAAACTTCCAACTTCTGTTTAAAGAAACACCCATGGAGCTCCTCATGCTGTTAGCAAATACACAGCCACCTGTCTTTCAGAGATGAATCCTACACACACCTCTAGGGCCTTTATTGACTTCCTCCAGAGAATGAACACTGCTCCCTCATCTGAGAGTCACAGCCCATTAATGTTGTAACTCTGTACTTACATTTTTACAGTTGCCCACTCACACAGCACCAGCTAAGAAAGTTATTTTCTTCCTCTTTTCTCTTTATCAAAAATAATCAGCACTTACAAATAATTCACTTCATTAAAAATAATCAGCACTGGTCGGGCGCGGTGGCTCAAGCCTGTAATCCCAGCACTTTGGGAGGCCGAGGTGGGTGGATCACAAGGTCAAGAGATCGAGACCATCCTGGTCAACATGGTGAAACCCCGTCTCTACTAAAAATACAAAAAAAAATCAGCTGGGCATGGTGGCGCATGCCTGTAATCCCAGCGACTCAGGAGGCTGGGGCAGGAGAATTGCCTGAACCCAGGAGGCGGAGGTTGCGGTGAACCGAGATCGCGCCATTGCACTCCAGCCTGGGTAACAAGAGCGAAACTCCGTCTCAAAAAAAAAAAAAAAAAAAAATAATCAGCACTTAATAATCTACCATCTCCCAGCTCTTGAACACACACATACCCACTTCTACACACAAAGCCTGTCCCTTTTGCCCCACTTCCACTGACCTTCTCTTCTAGCTGTGCCCTTCTCAGGTGCCCTTCTCCCCTCTACCTCTAGAACTTCAATATCTACAAAAGGATCTTCACTGACATGGTGAGCTCTCCTGGGACCAACTGCGCTGAGGCCTATCATAGCTGGGCTGATCTTCGAGATGTCCTTTTCAACCTGGTGAGGAAGTTGGGCTGACAAGAGTAAAAGGGCTGCTCTGCCTGTCCCTGTCTTCATCTCTTCTTTCATGCATGTAAACCTTTATTCTCAGATGTATTTTACCTTCCTCTGCCAGGTGGCCATCGGAGACCACTCTATGGCCCTGGCACTCCTCTGACCCCTGAGCCAGGCTGTGCTGTCTCCCTCTTCTAGTGTGAAAACCTGGTGAAGTCCAGTGAGGCAAACTCTCCAGCCCATGAGGAGTTCAAGACGATGCTGCTGATCGCTCATTACTATGCCACACGCTCTGCAGCCCAGAGTGTCAAACAGCTGGTGAGATGTGGAGGGACAGAGGAGCACTAAGTCAGAAGGGCTCATCTGCAAATGTATGAAACTGAATTGTCTCACATTCTGGATTCTTCAACTTGGGCTCTTGAATCTGCCCCCTCTCTTTCACCTTCTCTTCTGTCTAAACAAATCTTTAGCCCTTGCTGGGGTTTTCTTCTTCTCACCTTCTTAGGGCTCTATGCCCACACAGCTCCAGCTTCATTATGTTTAAACATCCAAATCCCATGATTTCTGTATTCACTTCTTGTAATGTACACATATTTTGGGCTTATTTATGACTGTTTACTATATATTTATTTCATGTACTTGGATAATAGAATTCTAGAAGTGGAAAGAACCTTAGAAAGAATCTAGGCGACTAGGCACAGTGGCTCACACCTGTAATCCCAGCCCTTTGGAAGGGGAGCCTGAGGTAGGTGGGCCACTTGAGGTCAGGAGTTTGAGACCAGCCTGGCCAACATGGCAAAATCCCGTACTAAAAATATAAAAATTAGCTGGGCGTGATAGTGCACGCTTGTAGTCCTAGCTACTTGGGAGGCTGAGGCACGAGAATTGCTTGAATCTGGGAGGCAGAAGTTGCAATGAGCTGAAATGGCATCACTGCATTCCAGCCTGGGCAACAGAGTAAGACTCTATTTAAAAAAATAAAAAATAAAAAAAATTGAAACTAGGCCCAGGTCTCTTATTCAGAAAAAAAAAAAAGAAAAAAAAAAATCTAAGACCCAGAACAGCTTGGAGAGAATGGTATAATATTGCTTGTTGTTTTTAATTCTGTGGCTGCTTTACAGGATCATTGGTCTGTAGCTCAGTCACTTTAGTGCCATATTCATAATACTTTGACTTTAATCCCAGGAGACTGTGGCTGCCAGGCTTTCTATTTCACTCTTGCGTCACACCCAGCTACTACCCGTAGACAAAGCCTTCTATGAAGCAGGCATTGCTGCCAAGGTGAGCTGGGACAAGGAAGGGTGGGGCAGATGGGAGGAAGTCAAAGGTTGGAAAACAGAGAATATCCCTTCTGCTCAGGTAGCAGAAAGCTGAGTGTAGGGCTGAAGTTGTGGAGGATATAATCCTCCTATGTCTTCCTGGATTTTTCTCCTGCATCCCAGAGTAGTAACATCCAGGCCCAGCTTGCTGACTCCCATTTGCAACTTTTCTCTGCTGCAGGCAGTTGGCTGGGAGAACATGGCATTCATCTTCCTCAATCGCTTTTTGGACCTGACCGACGTGAGTAGGGAAACTGTGCCCTGAGGGTGGGGTGTTTTGCCAGTCACAGGCTGTGCCTAGCTCATGGTTGCCCACTCTACTGCAGGCAATCGAGGAAGGGACTCTGGATGGCCTTGACCACTCTGATTTTCAAGATACAGACATTCCTTTTGAGGTGCCACTCCCAGCCAAGCAGCATGTACCGGTAAGGGCACAGGGCTGGAAAATGAGAAGACCTCACCAGTGTGAGTGCCTTGAGGAGGGAGAACATCTTTGTGCTGCCATCTTTGGAAGGACCTCAGCCCTCACTATTCTTTCTGTGAAAGTAGAAGCAGAGTAGAACAGAGAGAAAAGGCTGTGACTGGGTTGGTGCGGTGGCTCACGCCTGTAATCCCAACACTTTGGGAGGCCAAGGTGGGCAGATCACAAGGTCAGGAGATCGAGACCATCCTGGCTAACATAGGGTTTCACCTAAAAAACACAAAATGGGGTCTCAACTAAAAACACAAAAAATTAGCCAGATGTGGTGGCACATGCCTGTAGTCGCAACTACTCAGGAGGCTGAGGCAGGAGAATCGCTTGAACCTGAGAGGCAGAAGTTGCAGTGAGCCGAGATTGTACCACTGCACTCCAGCCTGGCAACGGAGTGAGACTCCGTCTCAACAAAAAAAAAAAAGAAAGAAAAGGCTGTGACTGCATCCCCCAATCCAAGCCAGTCCAAGGAGGATCATTTGTAGCTGAAAGCTGGTATGTGGTATACAGGACAAGGGCTTAGCAAACTCCCCTCCATACTCCTCCACCCCAGTTTGCCCTCCCCTGCCCTGTGTGAAGCTGCCACTGCCTCTTGTCCTTTCCAGGAGGCTGAGAGAGAAGAGGTTCGAGACTGGGTGCTTACAGTCTCCATGGACCAGCGGCTGGAACAGGTTCTGCCTCGGGATGAGCGTGGCGCCTACGAGGGCTCCCTGGTGGCAGCAAACACTGGGGTTCGAGCCCTGCCCTGCCTCATTACAGGTATAGAACTCTACAGCACCCCAGATCCTGTGGGGGGGGGTGGGGGAGTGGAAAGCAACAGGATCAATAAACTTAATTTAAAATTTTACTAGGATTCAGTAAAGGGTACAAAAGACAGGACCATGCTGCTTTGTACCCCCAGGCTGCTCCTCATTTTTCCTTCCTCAATCTCTCTCAAACCTCAGTTCATCATTTTTTCTTCCTCCACAGGATACCCCATTCTGAGGAACAAAATTGAATTTAAGCGGCCAGGGAAAGCTGCTAACAAGGACAACTGGAATAAATTCCTTATGGCCATCAAGGTTAGAGAGGGGGACTTGAAGAATGAAGGCAGATAGGGCAGCACTTAAAAAAAAAAAAAAAACAAGGCCAGGTGTGGTGGCTCACGCCTATAATCCCAGCACTTTGGGAGGCCAAGGAGGATGGATCACCTGAGGTCAGGAGTCTGAGACCAGCCTGGCCAACATGGTTAAAACCTGTTTCTACTAAAAAAACAAAAATTAGCCAGGTGTGGTGGTGTGCGCCTGTAATCCCAGCTACTCAGGACGCTGAGGCAGGAGAATCACTTAAACCCAGGAGGAAGAGGTTGCAGTGAGCCGAGATCACGCCACTGCACTCCAGCCTCAGTAACAAAGCGAGACTCCGTCTCAAAACAAACAAAACACACACACACACACACACACACACACACACTCTCTCTCTCTCTAGAAAGGTGGGTGGGATTGCAGGAAAGCAAGTGCAGACCCTGAAGCGTGTGATGGAGCTGATTTTCTCTGTATTTCCAGCATTAACAAGTTCCTCTCATCATCTTCCATTTGCTCACAGACTTCCCACAGCCCAGTGTGCCAGGATGTGCTGAAATTCATCAGTCAGTGGTGTGGAGGGCTCCCCAGCACCAGCTTTTCCTTTCAGTAGCCGGTAAAGCTGAGGAAGAATTAGGGCCTCTCCCTCATTAAAGTTTTATAAGAAAGTAAGACCACTGTATTCTTTGATCAAAGTCACCCCCAACACCACACAGTGCCTTTTCCCCAAAATGAATCATAATCAAGTAGAAGAAAAGTTATTTTATTACAATTTTTTATCTCATCCCGTGGTCAGGGCCCCTTGCTTAGTGCGGAAAAATCCCTTAGGGACTGAGTCTTGGAACAGCACCTGCTGGACAGAGTGGAGAACCAACCTGGGTCAGAGGGGAAAGCAGCATGGCAAGACCTAGACCCAGTTCTAAGAGCACTTCCCTGCCCCCAGTCTTACCCAGGCCACCACCTTCAAGACCCATTACCTGTCCTAAACCCAGCTTCTCTGTGATGCTCGGATCTCTTGATTTTGATCCAGCAGCTGCTCATTTTCCTGCCTTTTACATTTAGGAGGTTCAAGCTCTGTCATTTCCTCTAGCTGCAAAAGAAGGTGGAGTTAGACACCCTGGCCCTGAATGATAGGTCACCAGCTTTTTTTTTTTTTTTTTTTGAGACAGAGTCTCATTCTGTTGCCAGGCGCTAGGCTGGAGTGCAGTGGCACAATCTCGGCTCACTGCAACCTCCGCCTCCTGGGTTCAAGCAATTCTCCTGCCTCGGCCTCCTGAGTAGCTGGGACTACAGGTGCACGCCACCGCGCCCAGCTAGTTTTTGTATTTTTAGTAGAGACGGCGTTTCACCATGTTGGCCAGGATGGTCTCGATCTCTTGACCTCGTGATCCGCCCACCTCGGCCTCCCAAAGTGCTGGGATTACAGGCTTCAGCCACCGCACCCGGCCCTTTTTTTTTTTTTTTTTCTTGTCTTGAGATCTTATTGCGCTGTGTTGCCCAGGCTGGAGTGCAGTTGTACAATCTCAGCTCACTGCAGCCTCCACCTCCCGGTTCAAGCAATTCTCCTGCCTCAGCCTCCGAAGTGCTGAGATTACAGGTGCCGGTCACCACACCCGATTAATTTTTCGTATTTTTAATAGATACAAGATTTCATCATGTTGGCCATGCTGGTCTCAAACTCCTGACCTCAAGTGATCTGCTCATTTCAGCCTCCCAAAGTGCTGGGATTACAGGAGTGAGCCACTGTATGAGGCCAGTCACGTCTTTTCAACACAGCCAATCTCTGTGGAATGAACCCTTCCTGTTCACCTTCCTTACCTGCCCCTGAAGTCCCTCCTTCCTGCAGGGCCCAACTCCAAGTAGAGTGAGTGCAGCCACACAGCAGTAACCAGATAGAGCAGCCTCCCCTGCAGACATGAGCAAAGAAGGGATCCAGAGAGCCAAGGCTGTATCCTGAAAAGCAAGAAGGAAGGATGGGGACTAGGAGGAAGTACGGCAAGTGTGGCAAATAGGGAAAATTAAAAGGGCAAGACCAAGGCTTTGTAGACCACAAGAAGGAAGAGAATGTGCTCACATAGATTCTTGTGGGGTCAAAGGGGCAGTCAGTATGTCCCAGCCCCTCATCCAGTGGTACCAGAGGATCCAGCAGTCCTGGATGGCAGTCAGCAATAAGGCGGTGGCCACCGTTGGCCACAGTGAGTGACACAGCAAGAAGGAGGCCCAGGGAGCAGGCAGCAGACAAGAGCAGGTTCACCAGAGCTAGTGCCAGCAGGGCCCAGTGCTGGCAGGGACGGGAGATCAGGTGAGCAGCCTGAGCCTGGCTAACTCTCCCAGTAACTAAACACCCAGTATCTCTATTTGAGGCTCCTCCAGTCCATTGAAAGACCAAGCTCAGTCAGCCCCCATTTCCCCGACTCAATCAAGCCTACTCGTTAAAAGCTCCAGGAAGTCCCTTCTCACCAGTGGAGAGCGAAGAAGGTTCCTGGATGCCAGGAGGGCCACAAGTCCCACGGAAACGCTCTGTGGAAGACACAAAGCCTTTGGCCCGCTTGGCTCTCCGGGTGCCCGGCCCCTACCCCAGGCCGCCTGCCATGCTCACCAGCAGCCCCGAGCCAACGGAGATGACATTGGCCGCGGTGTACTCCGGCGTGACGGCGCCAAGGGGATTGGCCACGTGCCGCAGTACAGTGCCGTGCAGCACGGCCCCGAGCAGCAGGTTCACGTGGCCCACCAGGATCAGCGCCAGGCCCACCCGCATCAGCCGCCGGGGGCCCCGGACGGCGTCTGCAAAGCACGGGGGAGGGGCAGGGTTGAGCCGGGCGGGGAAGGGAGAGGCGGCTCGCGGCGGATTAACCACGGGCGGTAGGACAGGCCGAGTGGCCCCAGGGGAAAGACAAGATACGACAGAAGCCGGAAGTTACCGAAAGCGCAGAGACTGCAGCGCCTCATCCCGTCAGCCGCACCGGCCATAGGGTAGCTCTACCTGGGCTCAGCCACGCCCCAATCTTGGCTCCGCTTCCGTCTCGGGCTCCCCTCCCACCTGGGCCCCGCCTCTGCCCCGGCCCAGCTCCCCCTGGCTGGCAAGGCTCGAACACACGACGCTTTTAGCAAAAAGTAGACTTTTATTACAGCAGCAACTGAGGCGAATCGAATGGCCCCCCAGGGCCACCACTGCAGCACCACCTTTCTCTCCCGCCCCGGCCGCCCCAGCGGGATTGTAGAATTCGGCTCCCTCAGTGCCCATGGGCCTCCTTCCCACACAGTCTGGGCGGGAGCCGGCAGATCAGCGACTAGCCCCCATCTAGAAGGCGGCTGCTGAGAAGGCCCAGGCCCACGTCTGTGCAAAACAAGTAAACAAAGTGCAGAGGGGAGGAAGAGAAGGGAGGGGTAGGATGATGCTCAGAACCAGGGAGCCCCCTAGCCCTCCTGAATAATAAAGGAGGGAAGGGGCTTCACAGGGTAATACTGACTGAGGGGAAGGGACAGGAGGGCTGCAGCACGTCCAGGGACAGCCACAGCGCAGATCAGGGCCTGGCCCGAGTGAGCTCTAAGAGGAGACGGTGACAGCGGCTGAGTTGAGGGTGTTGTTCCTGGCAAAATTGAACTTGTTCAGGGTCTCCTCTAGCAGAGAAGTCAGCCGGCTCTGGTCAGCCTGGGGGAGAAGAGCTCAGTGAGACAGGTGCTGAGAGAAAAGAAGGCACTGGGGCAGCCAGGTCAGATGAAGGCAGAAATCTCACCTCACTAATGAAGCCCAGCTGCACCAGCTCAGCTGCCAACTCGGGGATGTTCTCATCTGACAGAGAAACAGGAGGGGGTGAGTACAGTACAGGATGGATGGACCTGGGGCCCTTCAGACAGCACCACTAGGGCTAAACTGTCAGATCCACCCACTGTTGTAGGGGCTAAGATAATTATTCTTTGTGAGTCAGTGTGTTACTGCCTTGTTGCTTTCCCCACTCCTGAATATGTCCCTCAAAGATAAGGCTCACAGACTCTCCATCCTCTGAGGGAAAGGAGAGACTCACTTGGCATCAGGTCACAGCTCAGGTGCCGGTTCAGTTTGTCCTCCAGCTTCAGCAGAAGCGTCAGCTGGAGAATAGGACAGTCAGAAAATGAGACTCTTCCCTACCCTCTAGCCACCAGCCCTTTGCAACCCTAGCCCTGAGCCTTACATGGTGTTTGACTCCCTCCTCCACCGATTCAATGTTGCACTGCATCAGCACCACCTAGGGAAGGAGGACAGAGAGGGTCACTCTAGAGACGTGTCCGTACAAAACCCAATACCTAGAGGCCTTTCCAGCCCATAGCACGTGGCTGCTAGGGAGCATTTTCTCTAAAGGACAGAGCCTTATTTGTGATGTCCCCTCTCCCTTCCATCACAGCCCCTACCTTTCGAGTCTCCACCTCAGCTGGTTCAGGTGTTGGAGTCTTGACAGAGGGGGGCACGACAGGTGATGTCACCTCTTCCTGCTGTGGCTGCTGGGGCCGAGGTAGCCCAAAGGCTGTCAGAGGATAGATACCATTCCTGGAGGGAGATGAAAACAGGTCACATGAGCTCTGTGAATGCCTTAGGATACCCAACCCAGCCGGCTTCCTCAAGAAAGCCTGCCTTCTCACTCTGCTCTCACCTGACATCTTCAAGGAATTTATCTAATTCCAGAGCTGGTGACTGAGAGTACCTGGAGGAGAAAAGAGAAAGGAGATGGAAAGAAGGAAACAAGCAAAAAAGCAAATTCAATCATTCCCAGAGAATGGACAGTTTACAGAGCCTCAAGAGTGGTAGTCACCAATCTGCTCTTTTCAGACCTTCTCAGTTACTCACAAAGTCTGAACTGGTTCTCTTCCTGGTCCTGCAGGGATTTCAGCCAGTACAGCACTGGTATCCATGTTTTTGGTGATCTCCTCCAGAGCATTCTCTGGGATCATGTCTGGAGGGCATGATGGAGTGGGATGTTATGGAGGAATAGTCATATTAAATGTCATAGAAGACATGGAGGCAAAGGGGTAAAGAATCCCTTTGGAGGCAGGGCATGGTGGCTCATGCCTGTAATCCTAGTACTTTGGGAAGCTAAGGCAGACAGATCACTTGATGCCAGGAGTTCAAGACCAGCCTGGCCAACATGGCAAAGCCCCGTCTCTACTAAAAATACAAAACTTAGCCAGGCATAGTGGCACATGCCTGTAATCCCATTTATTCGGGAGGATGAGGCATGAGAACTGCTTGAACCCAGGAGGCGGAGGTTGCAGTGAGCCAAGAGCACGCCATTGCACACTGCAGCATGGGAGACAGAGTGAGACTCTTTCTCAAAAAAAAAAAAAAAAAAAGAATCCCTTTGGAAATAGAAGAGGAAAGCAAGCATGCCAGTGATAGTTACAGGGCTCCAGATTGGAAGAATATTCCCTGTAGGGCCAATAGGACTCACGTTGGTGTCCCACAATGCAGTGGGCAGCAAGGAGTTTGAGCGAGGGCACTTCAAACAATGCTGGGTGGAACAGAAGTTCTCTGGCTGTTGGTCTGCGAGCAGGCTCAGACTGCAGGCACTTTTGAATGAACTCCTAGAAAAGAAAACAAGGTGGAGTAGGCATCTGGCAAGCCCCGCAATGTGTGAATCTTTATAGCTCTCATTCTACTTAGCACAAGGCTTTGTACATAGCAGGGGCTTGGCACTT